ACACAATAATTATTCTTATTATTTATGCTGTAAAATTAATAATTAGTTACTTTATATAATTTAAGCTAAAAAATGTCGATAATCTTTTAAATAGTTCTTATAATCTGATAAGTAGGTGTGTTGCTCGACAGATTGTGTGTATGTATGTACGTAAATGTGTGTATGTGAATCTTTTTACGATATAAAAGATTCACTGAATCGCACGTATTCGTTTTATGATTTCATTCTTTATTTTCTTGATTTCATTCTTTAATTTCGTTCTTCGATATCGTGCATTTCTTTAGCGCAAGTTTTACACTCGGACAATAAAAAATATGACTGTTATGTGGCATATTATTTAAAAATATTTTAAGATTCTATATAATATTGGGATATAAACGCACGAGATTGTATATTTTTTATGTGTATTCTCTTTCTCTTGCGCAATCACACTGTAGAAAATATTGCATGCTATTATATTCATAAAATCTTGAATAATTTTTGTTATTTTTATAATTTTGATAAAAAACTCTACTCTTTTCTTATCTTTTGTGATTTCATCAATCAATGATAATATCAATTAAAATATTCGATACAAATCCTAGATTATCCATTTACATTTACATAATAAATGAAATTTTTTCGCAGAAAGTTGTTATCGCGTGATAAAGTAAATAATATAAAAATTGATATGCCTGTTATAGTCAATTATAGCACTTGAAATTATCATATGCGTTGCAATACAATAAAACCTTACCAGAATGAGAGACGAATCTCTGAAAGTTCTGTGTATGATCTCTTATATATAATATAATTCAGTTTTTCTTAATGTTAAAGTGTATTAGTTGCATGTAAATTTAACTTTCTTTTTCTTTCATAAAGTACAATAGAAGTCTGCTTGACTGTGCAAACAAAGATTTAATAATTTTAAGTCCAAATCAATTAAATAAAATCTAATAGAAAATAATCTTTTATTCACATCGTTTAGATAAGGCCTATTAATGAGCACTAAATTGAAAATAAATTATATTGAATAAACATATTATTAATAAATATAAATAAATATAAATAAATATAAATAAATATAATTATATTAAATAAAGATAGTAAATAATTTAATAAATTATATTAAATAATTATTAATAAAAAGAATAATTTAAAAAATAAATATTAGTAATATAAAGGTACAAAGTTGATATTATTATTATTATTATTATTATTATTATTATTATTATTATTATATATTTAATGAACACAAATAATATAAATTGTAATTTGATTTATCAACAAAAAATACTTCTTTCCCTATTAATTTAATTTTATCTTTAAATGGTTGAAAATTTCAATAATCCCTACCTTTTATTTGATCCTTTTCGTTCCTGAATCTAATCTAAAATCTTTCGTTCTTATAAAGTAAAAAAAAACAATTTCTATTATTACAATTAAAATTAAACAAATTATTCTTAAAAGGTTTAATTTAATTTATATATAATATAATTATTAATTATTATTTATATATCTTAAAGTAAATTTTTTGAATCAATTTATAAACACATATAATTTAAATTTTAAATTTAATACATCATTCTGTCAAACTAACGACACTATTAATTTATTATTAATCTTATTAATAAAAGGAATTTAAATAATTAATCCTTTCGTACAAAATTATTTTCATTTTATCGTACGAAATTATATACGATAATGTCTCCAACTATAAAAAAAAAACTGATAAAAATCATTTCTCGTTACGATCACGATATCACTAGACATATGCAAATAAAAATATTAAACAAAAGTAGAAAATATTCTTGTTAATAATTGGAAATATACTTTATATTTTAATATGTGGAACGTTCTTCGGTAATCATCATCGTGTTGGCAGCTGTGTTTACCGGGAACCTAAATATTGGCGAACTAAATGCGTCATTTCTCGAATGCACTGGGAAGAATGCACCTGAATGTATCTCGAGTAAGCATTCTATAAGGTCACTTCATGAAAAAGATTCCACCTTATACTATGTTTGTCAAAACGGCAAGCAAACAGTTCACACGTGTCTCGATGGTCTACACTTCAATCCAATTATCAAGCAATGCGATTGGCTATTTCTTGAGATTGGAAGCTCCTCCGGATCGAGATTCCTACAGATTCAATCAACGATGTACTCGAAAAAGAGAAAGACGATGCAATCGAATGCATCGGTAAATGTCCTAAGAATAGTATGGTATATTGTCGCATGTCGATTGTGACAAGTATTGCATTCCAATCCTTTATATCTGCCCGAAAGGCTTGTATTACTCTAATTGTAAGATCGAACAAATCTGTACTTGGTCATGGATAGCCAAATGTAAACAGTAAAATGAAGAAAAAATGTGTGTGTATCAGAATATAATAAATTGAAGGAAAATTAAAGCAGAAAAAAATATGCCAACGTGCAACTTTTTATTGAGTCTCCATCGATTATTCATTGTTTGTTGAAACTGCGATCGATGATTCGAATGGTCATTCATTTCTCTCTTTTAGATATTATTAATAACGTAGAAAGAATAGAGTAAAATACATGAATCAAAAAATCAATCAAAAAATTCTCCTGTATAATACATTTAGATTTATATGTTTATAGTTAACTAGAAAGAAAATTCATACAAATATGTACAAATTAATTAAGCAAAAAATTATTTTTATGTATGAATTATCAAATTGATAAAATTTATCAGTTAATAATACAGATTTGATATTTATATCTGCATTTTATATCTGATTATATATTGAAAAAATGATAATTATATTAATCTAAATAAATTATTTTATTATATTAAAGAATTTCGTTAATATAATATTTTTTAATAATATTTTTTATATGTCGTCACAAATTTCAACTTTAATCACGATAATATTAAATAAATTGGAGTCATCTTTTTTTAACACAAAGGATCAATTAAATTTTTTAATTTTCAGTGTTATACATTTCTAACCATTTTTTTATTTTAAATTTCAAATTGGAGTCATTTTTTTCTTAATAGAAAAGTTCATTATTTAAACTTTTCCATTTCCAATGTTATACATTTTTAAAACTAAGTTTTTTCTTTTTTCAACTTAAAATTTTATTAAAATATCGTCCATTTTGAACTTTTCTAAAAGACTTTTTTGTTAGCAAAATTTTTCCAATTGCAAAATAATATTTATATATTATAGCAAAACTTTGTAATATTTCTTTCTTCTTAATTTTTCTTTGAAAAATCTTAATAAAAAGATATTTAATATTTTTACATATTTTTCTAATCATTTCGAGATTATTGTGCTCTCAATCAAATTCTGATAAACGAATATTCCGGAAGATAAAATCTTCGATTATTACTGCTAATTGAATATCATGTTTACAGATTATCGAATTGGGCCATAACTATTTTAGAATTCTAGAATTATAAAAAAAAAATTAGCAAATACTTTGAATCGAACAAAACTGCCAAATCAAATTTTAATAAATAATATGATATTTAATACTAAATAATATTATTAAATGCCACGCATAATATTATTTAATTAATATTGCATTTTATGTATAAATAATATAAATATCTAAGTATTATATGAGAAAGAAAAAAAAATGAAAAAGAGTCCCTCTCTCTCTCTTTCTTTTTCTTTTACTCTCTTGTGTAAAATATTTTCGATAATTGCCATTTTTAGAAGACACACATATATTCGGTTTCATATCACAATGCTGCAAATTAAATTTGCAAAATTTCAACATTTGTTTATTGATCATTATATATTTAAAACATACGAATATATATATATATATATATATATATATATATATATATATATATACAGGGTGTCCCAGACCACCCGTCTCACCCGATTTTTTCGTAAACGCGACATTTTAAAGAAAAATGTTTCAGACAAAAGTTTTGTGACTTCGAGGGGGACATAAGATGGTGTCATTGGTTTGACCTTGGATAGTCGTTTGAAGATCACGTGAAGGTCACCTTTAATTTCTTAAATGGAAACCCCCATTTTTCAATGCATATTCTTGTAGCTTACCTCGAGAGCTTTCCAAAACACTATAATTAAGTACCTTTTTATTAAGTACTTTTTGAGTTATAAGGCTTGAAATAATTTCTTAATTTTACATAAACCATAAAATATCTAGTAAACCATTCATTTTTCGATTATCTTACCTTCATACTTTTATGTACAAAATAATGAGAGGAATCAATTGGTGTAAAGAAAACATACAGTTGTTTTTAAGAAAAAATATGGAATTCTTAATTGCAAATTACCTCGAAGTCACAAAACTTTTGTCTGAAACATTTTTCTTTAAAATGTCGCGTTTACGAAAAAATCGGGTGAGACGGGTGGTCTGGGACACCCTGTATATGCATACATATATTTATATGTTTTAAATATGTAATGATCAATAAAAAATAAATATTAGTAATATAAAGATACAAAATTCATATTATTGTATCTCTCTGTATATATACAGAGTGTCCCTAATTTAAACGTCAAAACTTCGAAAATGTAGAGGACCAATAAATTAAGGAAAAAGTCCTTTCGATATGTTTGTTTACATTCTTTTCGTATAAGAAGGAGAAAGATGCCAAATATCAAGAAACTTTTGTATCAAATGTTTTTTCTAAAAGTGCTTCTGTAAAAAATCCTAAAAAAGTTCAATTTCCAATCCGGATGACGTATTTCGGTCGGAAACAAAAGTTGAAAATATCATCATTTAATGGAGCGTACCTGATTTACTTAAAAATTGTTCGCGATTTTTGATAAAAGCCATTTATTTTCATTTTAAAAGGGATGTAGAGGTGGTCTGGGACACTCTGTATATATATGTGTATATATATATATATATATATATATATATATATATATGAAATATGTTTGTATCTACTTTAATATTCTCTGATTAATTTTAACAGAAAAGTTTTGCCAATGTTAGATATGATAAGCCGCACTCATATTAAGCGATAACACTTCGCTTATAAAAATCATTTCGAGTATAGGCAAATTTGTCAGTTAGTAATTTAATGTGAATGAAGATATAGTGCCCGGTTCCTAACTTTAGCGACTGGGTTATTGAGTTTCACGATGAAAGGTGAGTGCTCGCGATTTATGGAATTTTAATAGTGTAATAAGGTGATGATAATTTATATGACATATAATAATTCGTGGCAAACAATTAAAAGAGATTTGATACCTTATCGTTGAACAATACCGTCATCAAATATATAAGATATTTGTGCGAGAAAGTTTTGTATAGTGCAATTAATCTAATTGTGAATAAATGTCGATTATAGACGGAGCATAAAATAATTATAACAATATATATACAGGTATATATATGTGCACATGTTTAAAATATTTTTAATAAATCTCTCTCTCTCTCTCTCTCTCTCTCTCTCTCTCTCTCTCTTCTTCGCTCTTTCTTTCTCCTTCTTCTCTCGTAAAAATCTTCGATTTTGCATTCATTTATGATCAGATTAGAAAATATTGTTCATAAATTTAAATAAGATGAAAAATAACAAGCAGAGAATTATGTAACAGGCACATTATTGAATAGAATATTATTTATATAATATTTTAAAATTGTATGTGATTATTTAAATAATTATTTTTAACTATTATTTTTCAATATAATATTAATATTTTCTAGTGGGAAGTTATTATTTTTATATAGGATTATATATATGTATATATATATATATATATATATATATATATACATGTATACATATATATTAGAAGATTTTTTAATGTTTTATCATAATTATATGATAAACCGTTAAGTATATACACATGCGCGCTTTTCCTAATTTTATTAAATCTTTTTTAATCTCTCTTATATAAAATATTTATTTGCAATATTTATTTTTTTTCTCTCTAATTAAATTAAATTAATCTATTTTTTCTTTTTAATAAAATTAAATTAAGAGATATTAAGAGAAAAAAAATCATATTATAATTAAATAACAATATATTAGTCTTAATAGTTAAACTTTTTCTCGAATTTGCTTAATTTGCTTAATTTGTTTTTTTTATGATTAAACTATATTAATAATAATACATTTAATGCTAAATTTAATACATAAAAAATCTCATCAACACACACTCTTGTCATATCTTCAGATTTTAATTTATTTTATCATATTTTATATATATACAAATATATTCGATCAAATGCTCCATTTATTTAATATTTACGATTAATAAGAGGTTTCGTAAAATTTTATCCAATATAAAAAAGATGCTAAAATTTAACTTTTCATGATATCTGAATGAATTAATTTATGATAAACCACAACATTACTCATATTAAAAATTGACAAAAAAATAAGGAATACTCTTTTAAATTTAATCTATTTATTAAATCTATCATTATATATTAATAGCATCTCTCTCAATTAGATAATCAATATTACTATATATTTATATTAAATTAATATTATATATTTTTTTATATTTATAGAGATATACTTAGTGGCCATTTTATATGTGGCTACGTTGAGCGTTGCGCTTAACATATCATCGGTGACTGATTTTCCGACAGAATGTCCAGCAGAGTCACAGGATAAAATAATTTATTTGCCTTATGAAAATGACTGTACGAAATTCTACAGTTGTTATATGGGAATAAAAGGAGAGCCACAAGATTGTCCTTTCAGGGATAATAAAGGTAACAGATTGCACTTCAATCCTGTACTGCAGGTATGTGATTGGCCCAGGAGTGCAGGATGTAAGCTATCGAAGCCAACGTCAGCTTCAATAACGCCGAAAAGTCCTCCGACATCGTCGAGTTCATCATCTAGTTCTCCGCCAACAGTTTCATCAAATTCTCCGATATCGCCAACGTCGTCGTCTAATCCTCCAACGACAACTTCATCATCAAGTTCTTCGACATTACCGACATCATCGTCCAGTTCTCTTCCGACGACGACTTCATCAAGTTCTCCGACATCGTCTAGTCTTCCATCGACAATTTCATCAGATTCTCCAACATCGCCGACGTCCAATCCTTTTCCCTCGACAACTTCAGCATCAAGTTCTCCGATATTGCCATCGTCGTCTAGTCTTCCTCCGACAACGACTTTATCAAGTTCTTCAACATCGTCAACATCGTCATCCACTTCTTCTCCTGAGACAACAACTTCAAGTTCTCCGACATCGCTGACATCGCCGATAACTCCAAGTTCTCCGACATCGTCGTCTAGTCTTCCTCCGACAACGACTTTATCAAGTTCTTCAACATCGTCAATATCGTCATCCACTTCTTCTCCTGAGACAACAACTTCAAATTCTCCGACATCGTTGACTTCACCGACAACTCCAAGTTCTCCGACATCGTCGTCTAATCCTTCGACAACGACGACTTCATCAAGTTCTCCGACGTCATCTAGCCCTCCATTAACAACTTCATCAGATTCTTCAACATCGCCGACGTCGTCGTCCAGTCCTTTTCCTCCGACAACTTTATCATCAAATTCTCCAGCATCATCGACATCGCCGTCTAGTTCTCCGTTGACTTCATCATCAAGCACTCCGATATTGCCGTCGTCGTCTAGTTTTCCTTCGATAACGACTTCATCAAGTTCTTCGTTGACATCATCATCTAGTTCTCCTATTCCGACAACAACTTCAAGTTCTCCAACATCGCTGACATCCAATTCGCCGACAACTCCAAGTTCTTCGACATTGTCGACATCGTCGTCCAATCCTTCGACAACGACAACTTCATCAAGCTCTCCAGCATTGCCGAGTAGTTCTCCATCGACGATTTCATCATCAAGTTCTCCAATATTACCAACATCGTCGTCCAGTCTTTTTCCGACAATGCCTTCGTTACCAAGTTCTTCGATATCGTCGACTTCGACAACGATTTCAACAGCAATCTCAGCAACAACTACGGAAATCTCTGAAAAACCTCGCATGCAGTGTCCTTCCGAAAGCTCAACTGAAACAGTGCGGATTGCCCATCAATGCCTATGCAACGTATATTATGAATGTATCAACGGTGACAAGATACGTCAAACGTGCCCGATCGGCATGCATTTTGATTATGAACGAGAGGTTTGCGATTGGCCCGAAGCAGCAAACTGTGTCCATTCTATTTCGACTCAAAATTTTCTAATTGACAGATATGAAAATAAATGCTATCAAGAAGGCAAAGCATTTCAACACGAGATTGATTGTTCATCATATTATTTATGTGTTGAGGGTAACAAAATTCTGAAACATTGTATGGCGGGACTTCACTTCAACGTTACTCTCCAGATGTGTGACTATCCGACAAAAGCAAGTTGCGACTTCATTGTTACGTTCTTGCCTGCGGCTAATCCGGCATCTTGTTCTTCTTCGAATTCCACAGAAAAAGTACTGTTACCTCATGAATGTAATTGTGCCCAATATTATGAATGTATTAATGGAAACCTACTACTTCAAGATTGTCCGAATGGTTTAGATTTTGATCGTATTCGGAATACTTGCAGTCAACCGAATGATGCTAAATGTCCATATGTTTGTCCTTGTGCAAGTTCCACAAAAAAAGTATTGTTGCCCCATGAATGTAATTGTGGACAATATTACGAATGCGTTAGGGGACAGCCAGCTCTTCGAAATTGTCCAAATAATCTACATTTTGATTATATTGAGAAAATTTGCAAGTCTTCGAATGAAGCCACTTGCGCAACCAGTACTAAACCAACAACAACAAGCACAGATTCAACAGTAACTGATACAACAATTACAGGTTCAACAGTAACTGATACAACAATTACAGGTTCAACAGTAACTGATACAACAATTACAGATTCAACAGTAACTGATACAACAATTACAGGTTCAACAGTAACTGATACAACAATTACAGGTTCAACAGTAACTGATACAACAATTACAGGTTCAACAGTAACACCTACAGGAGGTCCTGAAACCCCACGACAAAAATGTCCTCCTAAAGGATCAACCGAAAAAGCACGGATTGCTCATCCTTGGGTATGTTACTTGTATTACGAATGCGTAAATGGTAATAAGGAAGAACGAATGTGCCCGATCGGCAAGCATTTTGATTACATACAAGAGGTTTGCGATTGGCCTTGGAAAGTGAACTGTATGCGGCCAATTCCAACACATGATATGTCGATTGACGACTGCCATAATAAATGTTCTCCGGAAGGCAGAACATTTCGGCACGAAACCGATTGCTCCTTATATTATTTATGTTCCAACGGTAAGAAAATTTTGCAACAATGTACAGCAGGACTCCACTTTAATATTACTCTTCAAATATGCAATTATCCGTATAAGAGTTGTGATCTCCCTGATAATACTTATTCAACAATTACTCAAAATGTTTGCCCTTCAAATTCTACAGAGAAAATACGTTTTCCTCACAACTGTAAATGCACGTACTATCATGAATGTGTTAATGGAAAGAAGATTCTTCATAAATGCCCGGAAGGTCTGCATTTTGATATCGTTCAGAAAACTTGCAACGATCCATATAAGTCCGGTTGCGCTCCTACGTTCCCAAAATCCACTCCCATGCCCATTATTTCCACCACAAAATGGTCTAAAGAACCTGATAAAACAACGACTGAAAATCCATTAGACCCGTCTAAATGCATCGGTACCTGCCCTGAAATAGATCCTCCGAAAGTAGTGTTACTTCCTAATGAAGATTGCAAAAAGTTTTGTATGTGCAGCAACGGTATTGCGTGGGTTCAACCTTGTCCTGAACCTCTTTATTTCGACTCCAAAGATACAGTCTGTAAAAATAAGAGAGACGCTGTTTGCGGCAAACGTTTATTCAATCAAGATCGCGTATCCATGCATCATAGAATGTTCAATGAGAATTCGTTGCAGTCTCCGAAAAAAGAGAATAACGATGACCAAGGGATACATGACAATTCTTTGTCTAAACACATCTATAATTTTGATGATAAAACAACGACTGATAAAACAACGACTGAAAATCCATTAGACCCATCTAAATGCATTGGTACCTGCCCTGAAATAGATCCTCCGAAAGCAGTGTTACTTCCTAATGAAGATTGCAAAAAGTTTTGTATGTGCAGCAACGGTATTGCGTGGGTTCAACCTTGTCCTGAACCTCTTTATTTCGATTCCAAAGATACAGTCTGTAAAAATAAGAGAGACGCTGTTTGCGGCAAACGTTTATTCAATCAAGATCGCGTATCCATGCATTATAGAATGTTTGATGAGAAGAATTCGTTGCAGTCTCTAAACAAAGAGAATAACGATGACCATGGAATACATGACAATTCCTTGTCTAAACACATCTATAATTTTGATGATAAAACAACGACTGAAAATCCATTAGACCCATCTAAATGCATTGGTACCTGCCCTGAAATAGATCCTCCGAAAGCAGTGTTACTTCCTAATGAAGATTGCAAAAAGTTTTGTATGTGCAGCAACGGTATTGCGTGGGTTCAACCTTGTCCTGAACCTCTTTATTTCGACTCCAAAGATACAGTCTGTAAAAATAAGAGAGACGCTGTTTGCGGCAAACGTTTATTCAATCAAGATCGCGTATCCATGCATTATAGAATGTTTGATGAGAAGAATTCGTTGCAGTCTCTAAACAAAGAGAATAACGATGACCATGGAATACATGACAATTCCTTGTCTAAACACATCTATAATTTTGATGATAAAACAACGACTGATAAAACAACGACTGAAAATCCATTAGACCCATCTAAATGCATTGGTACCTGCCCTGAAATAGATCCTCCGAAAGCAGTGTTACTTCCTAATGAAGATTGCAAAAAGTTTTGTATGTGCAGCAATGGTATTGCGTGGGTTCAACCTTGTCCTGAACCTCTTTATTTCGACTCCAAAGATACAGTCTGTAAAAATAAGAGAGACGCTGTTTGCGGCAAACGTTTATTCAATCAAGATCGCGTATCCATGCATTATAGAATGTTTGATGAGAAGAATTCGTTGCAGTCTCTAAACAAAGAGAATAACGATGACCATGGAATACATGACAATTCCTTGTCTAAACACATCTATAATTTTGATGATAAAACAACGACTGAAAATCCATTAGACCCATCTAAATGCATTGGTACCTGCCCTGAAATAGATCCTCCGAAAGCAGTGTTACTTCCTAATGAAGATTGCAAAAAGTTTTGTATGTGCAGCAACGGTATTGCGTGGGTTCAACCTTGTCCTGAACCTCTTTATTTCGACTCCAAAGATACAGTCTGTAAAAATAAGAGAGACGCTGTTTGCGGCAAACGTTTATTCAATCAAGATCGCGTATCTATGTATCATAGAATTTTCGATGAAAAGAATTCGTTGCAGACTCTGAAAAAAGAGAATAACGATGACCAAGGGATACATGACAATTTCTTGTCTAAACACATCTATAATTTTGATGATAAAACAACGACTGAAAATCCATTAGACCCGTCTAAATGCATTGGTACCTGTCCTGAAGAGGATCCCGATTATGCAGTGTTACTTCCAAATGAAGATTGCAAAAAATTTTGTATGTGCAGCAACGGTATTGCGTGGGTTCAACCTTGTCCTGAACCTCTTTATTTCGACTCCAAAGATAAAGTTTGTAAAAATAAGAGAGACGCTGTTTGCGGCAAACGTTCATTCAATTAAGATCGTGCTTTTATGATTCATAAAATGATAGAAAAAGATATTTCGATGGAACTTCTAAATGAATAGCATAGAAAATGTATGCGAAGAAGCTTTTAGTTTAAACTAATTGATTTTGGTCAATTTCTTAAATATTCAAAATTTAAAAATTATTATTGCATTTGCTTATCAACATGTAATCTTGTATCGTTACTTATAATTCGTTTTAAATTTGTTTTAATTTTTTAAAATTTAGTTTAAATAAAACCTAGTATACATATAGTATATATTATTGTATGAATATAATATATAATTGTATATATAATTGTATGAAAAGTAATTATTGTTCGCTGATAATTATTTATTTATAGAATAGTCCCCGTTATAATCTTACAATGGATTCTGCCTTAGTATAACTTATAGATTAAAAATTATTTTGTAATAAATTTTAAATATTATAATAAACCTGTGAATCATCATCGATTATTACGATATATTTTTTTTTTATATGAATTATTAATTATATATTTTAGTATACTATACTAACAGAACTCTTAACAATCTAACAAAAGCTAAAAGTAATTGCTAATATTAATCTTTTTTAATTCAATAATAATCTTTTTTTTTATTCAAACTTTAATTTCTTTTTAATTTCCTTTTAATTCAAAATATTTTTATGAGATTAAGTTTCGAAATATTTTTTAGCAAAACCTATTTGTGAAAAAAAAAATTTCATATTTTAAAATATTTTATATCAGGACGTTAAATATATATGTATGTATAATATATAAATATGATCATCTCAAATATATATATTTATATGAATGTAATTATATTATATAAATTCTCTTATATATATTAATATATTAATATTTTTATATTAATATTTTCTTCATTATATTAATATATATATTCTTAATTCATATTAATATATTCTTCGATGTTATTGATGATTTATTTAATTTCAAATTTAATCACAAGTAAATTTAACAAAATCAATATATGTATATTGACGTAGTCCACATCGAAATAGAATTCGTTAATGAACGGATGGCAGTTATTCCCCAATTATTCGTCAGTTCAGCTTTATTATACTTGTTAAATATTATTAACAAAGAAATTTATACATATAAGATTAAATGGGGTTACAACTTTGCTACCTAAATTCGTATCACATAATTCGTAGAATTCGATTTATCTCAAGCGTTATTAATTAGATTCCGATTTGAACGTTTTCACATGTCCTCGAGATTACTCTTTCAGCATCCTCACACGCTCTCTATCATCTTCAGGCACTGCATCGCGCAATTATCTTTAACGAGATATTCATAATACAAAACTAAATCGCGGCGAAGAGAGAAAAGAGAAAAATTAATTTAACAACAACAAGTATTACGGTCATTCGTAAATTCGGGACGGTAAAGGATATACTTTGATATACTATTTTCAGTATTAAGAGAGGAAATTAGGAAAATTAGGAGAGAGGAGAGGATGCTACGCGAAGTCATTTATTGTACATCGATATAGTTGCCGATCATGTCCGAAAGAGAGCCAGGTCGTGTAGCGACGTGCGATGTATGCTTGTCGATGTCCGAGCTCTGGAGGTCACTGAACAGAACTTGCTCTTTACTCTGCCTCATCTTCTCCTGCCTCTGCTGTTCATTTTGTCGCCGCGCATCCTGGATCATCCTCAGAGTTTCCCAAGAGTTGTTCAATTCCGTCGACATAGGCGCCATGTCACCTCGTTTGCCGTATCTACGTATGTAATTGATAAACTTTTAATCTTAATATTATAATTAATTCTATTTTACATTGTATCGAATTAATTTTATATTTCTTACTCTCTAAAAGTGAATCAGTGTATTATCACTGAAAAACAGTAAATAGTCACTGATTACAGCAGTTATAAGTACAGCACTGTAAATCAGTGATATTTTATTGAAAGAATCAGTTAATAATTTTGACTGTTTCAATCAGTAATAATTCTCAATGTCAGTAATATTTCTTTCGTTATTGTCAGTAATATTTAACTATAATTCATCTCTCTATCTATTTTATATAAAATTAAAAATTTTATTTATATTTACTAAATATTTATTATATTAAAAATTTTATTTTATTTATATTACATGTATATTGAACTTGTTATTTTAAATAGATAACGAACAAATAATTTTCATTAAGTCGCCAGACATTTATTTCTCCGACCTTAAAGATCGATTTAATATTTGAAGCTTCTCTATTGAGCTTGTATCAGAAATTAAATCGAAGTAATACTTCTAATTTTAAATGTCGCTCTTTGCAAACTTTATATAATTCTTATGACTAAAATTAAATACGAGAGAGATAGCGATTGTAGCGGTAACGAACTAGCGATTACTGGTTTTACAGTAAAATTTATTGATTTTACAGTAAATTTTATTTTAACTGACCATAATCAGTGAGATATAAGATAAAGTAACAAGAAAATAAGCATTTCCATTGAAGATCAGTAAAATACTCACTGATGCTCAGTGAAATGTTATTTTACTGTTTAAATTAGTGATATTTTCACTGATTCACTTTTAAAAAGTATGTTTCTTTGTTGCATTTCTGTGTATGATTATTTTAATATATTAGTATAATTGATGCGTATTTTAACTTATTTATAATTCTAATGTAAATTTTTTTATTATAAATGTGTGGAATTATTGATTATTAATTATTCTAAAAACGTTTGTTTTAATTTGAGATATATAGTGTACTAACTTATAATTAGCAGCCTTTAAGCGATTATTTATTAATTTATATTATGAAAATAATATCACATGCTTGCACATGTGATCATTACCTCGCTTTTCCGATCAAATAATAATAATCTCTGACAAGGTCGGCATATTTTTTCAGCTCCTCGGGACTGCCGAATACCTTCGGTCTGGTCGGCCTAGCCATGGACTCTGGTTCGGCTTGGACAATTGTTCCGATAACGGTGAATAAGCAAAAGGAGAAATATGCGAGGCTCATTATCCACGCCCGCATTTCGAATGGCTGGAATAGTGGTTTCGGTTGCTGCAACGATACGACGAAGTTTAAGGAGAGATCGGGGAGAGAAACAACTGCGCTTTAAACTTCATATGCGTGGTCGAAACCGGAGGGAAAAATACGGGAAACAATTTCCTTTTTCCGTCGCGACGAAACTTTCCGGGACGCGCATCAAAGGAATACAATCGAAAGTTTTCTTAGCGTAATACGCTTCCAAAAGTAGCGAAACTTCCATCCGACGATGATCAAGTACCGCGAACTTCCCACACGGTTTTCGAACGCGGCGCCTTCCGAAAGGACACAGCGGAGGTGGTTGAAGCGCGAAAGATAATTAAGATGCAAAAACTAACGCGCATCTTCGGACCTATCTCCGGAAGAAGCCGGAAAATTCTTCAAGAAATTGTTGTCGAGAAATGCTTTGTTCCTGAAGAATGCCGTGCCGAACGGTCGTTGCGCCCTAAATTAAAAGAAAGTTACATTCCTAACGTAACTTCTCATTTATTCCGTTGAGGAATCATTCAAGCTAAATTTAGCAGTTTCTGTATTATACGCGTAGATAAAATTGACCGTTACTAATACTGTATACTCTATTTATACAGGGTGTCCCAAAAGTTCCGGACTGGTCGAATATTTCATAAACTATGCACTCTTTAGAAAGAAATGTTTCAGACAAAAGTTGTATGGCTTGAAGGGGGCCAGAAGGGGGGCAGATAGTGGCAATGATTAGACATGGGAGAGTCATTTGAAAGTCACGTGAAGATCACCGTCAACTTCTTAAATGGAACTTCCTATTTTTTATTACATATTCATTACATACACATTATTTTTTATTACATATTCATTACATACGTAATTACATTACGTATAGCTTATCTCGAGAGCTTTCTAAAACACTATAATGGAGTATTTCTTCATTAAATACTTTTCGAGTTATGAGGCTTGAAATCATTTCTTAATTTTGCATAAACCATAAAATATCTAGTAAAATATTCATTTTTCGATTATCTTGCCTTAATAATTTTATGTACAAAATAATGAGAGGAATCAATTGGTCTAAAGAAAAAATATAGTTGTTTTTAAGAAAAAAATATGTAATTTGCAATTAACAATTACATATTTTTTTTTAAACAACTATGTGTTTTCTTTACACCAATTGATTCCTCTCATTATTTTGTATATAAAAGTATTAAGGTAAGATAATCGAAAAATGAATATTTTATTAGATATTTTGATTTATGTAGAATTAAGAAATTATTCAAGCCTCATAACTCGAAAAATACTCAACGAAAGAACATTTTATTATAGTGTTTTGGAAAGCTCTTGAGATAAGCTACACGAGTATGTAATAAAAAGTAGAGAGTTCCATTTAAGAAATTGAAGGTGACCTTTACGTCACCTTCAAATGACTCTCCAAGGTTAAATCATTGCCACTATCTGATGGTCTCCTTCAAGTCATACAACTTTTGTCTGAAACATTTCTTTCTAAAGTGCATAGTTTATGAAATATTCGACCGGTCCGGGACTTTTGGGACACCCTGTATACTGCATCTCAAATGTTCGCACTTTTTTCATCTTTAATTCTCTCTCTTTCTCTTAAAAAATATTCGAGATAAAATGTTGAAAATTTAAAAAAATTCTTTGAAAATTTACTACTAAAAAATATATTATAGAATCAAGTATTTTATTTTTATATTTTATATTTAGGTATTTTATTATCAGGTATTTGATCAGATATTTTATATTTATTTTTATATTTAAATCGCAGATGCGTAATATCACATTCTCAAGATATTAAATTACGCATGTCGCGAATTCCGGAGATTACAGTAAAACGTGTAGGATTAAATGACATTTAGGATTAAATAACATTTATAAAATCCAACAAATAGCCAGCAATAAGCTGTTATGGTAGTTGTATTATAAAATATATATAAAATTAAATAGAAGTATAACCAAATTTTATTTATCTAATTCCTTTATCTTATAAATATATTTAACTCCAAATAACTTTTGGTATATAATTGAGAATAATTAAGTAATGCTATTCATTCTTGATCAAGACAATTTTGTCGGTATTTCACATTTTTATTATACATATTATTTAAAAATGAAAAATTTTAATCGATTTCTTTATATAAAAGTCAGTGTTGTGGAAAAAAAATTAATTTGTCCACCATATATGTGTTTATCAAATAAAATTTACTATTTATTTAGCTTTATTCGTTGTAAAAGATTGAAATATCAATAAATCAAGTGCATATGAATATCCGATGGAAAATTAAATTTTATTAGAATCAAATTGTAATTATTAATAAAATTCATTTTTCAGTTATTTGCACTGCTAGTCTAATATAGTTTGATAATGAAAAGTAAATTTAAGAAGAGAAATTTTTAATAAAGATTCTTAAAAATTAGCAATTATTTATACATAATATAATTCGAGTTGTGTGCAATTATTTATACATAATATAATTCGAGTTGTGTGAAATTAATCAATTAATGAGATTGAAAAATAGCAAACCAAGAAAAGTGTCGCAGCAAAGAAATTTTATAGTCGAAATGCAGTAGGATAGAAATTCGCGGATGAAAGCAAAATTGTGAAGTTGAGTTACCTGTTGCATCGTAACGGACAACTTTATCAATAACGGACAGACTTTGTGAAGGGTATCGATTCGTTTGAAATCAAGTGTCGATCGGCGAATCGAAGTCGCAGTAATTTGTACCTAATATTTCGTCTTCGAAAGTATACCGAAACTTTCCCATGTCATGTGGCATCATTGAGTATTAATGCCGTAATAAATATGAGACTAATTCAAGATATGAAACTAATTCAAGAAGGTTCCTAGATTCAAGAGGTTAATCATTATCAATTAGGGCTCCACGTATAAATATTGTGCCTTTGCTATAAATAGTACGCATGTCATGGCACGTGTCTCTTGATTTTTTCGATTTTGCCTTTCCTATAATTATTACACATGTCATGACACGTGTCTCTTGATCTTTTCGAGTTTGCGAAAAAAGTGCGTCGAAAGTTGTGCCGTGAATGCTTTGGAATTGAATATCGAGACGTAATGGATGGATATTCTCTCTAAGTTTCTTGTCCTGTTGCACGTTCTTAAATTTCAGCGTATTTCTTTGAGAAATTGGAATACGTCACCGATCTCGTAATATTTTATTTGTGAAAAACCCAGTCGTCACGTACTTTTAGAAATATCTCCGTGAACTTTGAACTAAATCGTGGGACGACAATCACACGTCCGATTTTTTTAAAGAATTGCAAGAATTTGTACTTTTATTACGCGGGGATATAAATAGCAACACAATGTAATTCCATATACTTCGCATATTTTTACGTCTTTCGAGTACAGAGTGATAAATTCTACTGAATCGACGCGCGGAAGAAGCGCGAGATATTATAAATTGCGGCCCCCTAGAAGTGAAGAATTTTGATTAATAAATACAAAATATGGATGTTTAACATTTTTGCTGACTCGTATATTTATATAGTCATTTTCATTCATAAAATGTCTTAAAATCGAATATATAATAAGCAATTATTTAATTACATATTTAATCAGTCGCACACGTTGACTGATCTTTCAATACGTAACTCAATTTGATGATTAAACAAAACGATCAAATGTCAATTAATCGAAATATTTAACAAAATATAAATTGATACGAATGTATATAGTTTATCTGGTAATTGGAAATATTGTATTTTGCGATAGCTTTAAAGCTTACGATGGTTTCGAGCTTGTTGCACTCGTCATATTCGGATTTTAAAAAATCACTAATTTTTCTGATTGTACTTAGAATTGATTCATAAACAGATAAATGGACAATTGAAAAATTTTTTAGAATTGCTTACGTAACAGGATAATGTAGCAGATTAAATAAAAATTACAGATATAATATTGTGATCTTTTATTTTCCTTGATAATTAATCGTTATAATTGCTCTAATTAAAAAAACGTTTTGTTCCGGAAATAATAGTTATTAACTATTACTGTCATTTCTCTTGAAATTTAGAGATTGAGAGAATCTTTAGAGATTCGCTTTTCTTCCAAAAAATTTCATTCATTAATAAAAATGACAATTAAAATATAAATCGCTACATTAAATGATAAATTAATACACGTAATAAATTCTTAATAGAAAAATTATTATAATAAAATTATAAAATTATTATAAAATTATTATAAATTTACAATTATCATAAAATTATTATATATTATATTAAATAATAAATTAATACACTACTAATACAATGCTATTAAATAATAAATAAATTAATAAATAGTCTTAAATAGAAAAAATGTTAGAATGCATACGCGTGTAAAGAGAAGGAAAATTTTTATTGCACACATGGCAGCAATAACATATACGCAGGTAAAGCAAAGTCGATGAAGGAGAAACGTGCCGAAATGAAACGCGTACGCGACGTAAGAGATCGCAAGCGTTGAAGGCGCTGATAACGATTTTCGCACTTAATGGTTAGTCGGCCGGCACGTGCAACTGAATGAAAATATCCGTTATTGTTTGTCGACATTGTTACAACCGTAAGACTACATCATCAGTTATACGGCACGAGTGAATACAGCTCCTTCTTACAATGAGCCGCGCGTAGGTATGGCCGTTTTGATACCGTCACTGCCACCGTTGACGTTACGATTATGAACACTCACTTTCCATCGTGGGATTTCGCACGTTGCATTACGCCGATATATCTTACGAATCGCGATTGTAGCAAGAATGGCGAAGCAAAATATTGCCAAATACGATCCAAAGACGAGCCAGGTATTTCGGGAACATTACATTCATTATTTGCAATTATCTCCTTGAAAAATTTCGTAAGTGTGAGAAAAAATCATTAAAGAAAAATATTAAATAATAAAAAATATTACATAATAAAGAAAGAAAAAATATTAAATAATATTATTGAAATTCATATAGAAAATGATAAAGACAAACAAAATCTTAAAAACCTTCTGTTTAGAGGCTGTAAAAATAAAAGGAAATAAACCTAAAATATTATTAATAAGATTTAAAAAAATAATTAAATTTGACATAGAATATTTAACAATAATTTTAAATTTTTTAAAATATAGTAATAGGTCATAAAGTTAATTTCGAGAGCCTTTAAGTTAATTTCGAGAGCCTTTAATTTTGTTTATCTTTTATTTTAAATTTTTTAATTAAAAATTTAAAAATAATATTTCAGATTATAATAAATCGAGAGGGAATTAATCAAATTATTGAAAAGGAAAAATAAAAATAATTATACTTATTCTTAATCAATTTAAAGAAAGTTTTATCCTTTTTTTCTCCCTTTAATAATTATATAGTTACTTAATAGTTGGAATCTTGCGTATAATTTCATAAAAATATATAATCCCATTTCTTTTATTGATCTCTCTTCGACACATTTATTTTCGGAAGATATTTTCGATCCCGAAACTTTTCGATTGAATAACGGTCGCACAGATTGAGATACGCGAGATTATTTTCGAGTTAATGCGTAATTAATCTACGCTTTATCCACGCAATATCAAGTTTTATTACTCTGAAGGCGACTATAATATTTAGATAACGACAGATTAACGCTACAGCACGATGATGATGCATTGAAAATTCGCGCTTTCATAGATAACGCCAAGGTTATTATTGATGACTATGATCATAGCTATTACTCATTCAATTTCAATCTTGAACTTTCCAAAGATTAATATTATGAATAAATCGAGCATGTCCTAGAGATGTATATGCGGTATATATAATTATCTCGAAGGAAATTACGCTTGATATATCCATGCAATAGTGGCAGATGAAAGAACAGTAAGCGAACTTTCAAACGTCGAAAATATCGACAGACTGAAAAAATGAAATTTCTTTTATCTGAAAAATCCTTGATTATTCTACAATAATGTTCTTTTCTCATGCTGTATCGATCTCGTTAAATTTGTTTCGCGTATAACTCAATCATGTATCAGATTATTTCGTCAAATAATGAAAGCACGATTTTCTGAAAACTCGCGAACGCGATGAATGATAGAGACGATCTTTGTTCGTAGTGCGATCTCACGACCGATACTCGGATCGAAATTAATTATGTGACCTTTACAGCATCTAAAGCGACGATATTGTCTACCGACAAGCGTCGCAAATGTTCGAGTTCATTGCGCGGGTGGCGTTTTTCATAAAGACGGAGAAGCATACCGAATCGACCATCTTCTCGCTTTATAGCAGTTAAGAAGCTAGAAGAATACACATTGTTATTTTGTAAAGTGTCGCGTAAAATTCTGCGAAGAAATCTCTCTTTAGAAAACAGACGAAATTCTATCAAGTAATAATTCTCTCTTTTGCATAATAGATTTTTATATTTAAAGTTCAATATTGCAGAAAAAATTTATTGTTTTAACAAAGTTGTTAAAATATATAGATTTTGAAATTCAAATAGTTGGACTAAAATAATGTGTATTTTGAAATTCAAATAGTTTGATTAGATGACGAAAATAGAAGATAGCGAAAATTACTTGTTAAAAATAGACTGCGAATATTAATGTGACATTTCAAAGATAAGGAATTGAAGATATTTTTGAGAAAGACAAAATTATGAAATATCATTAAAACATATTGTATCGTTCATGTTTTCTTATAATCATTGAAAATGAATTACGAAACGTTTCTAAATTTCTTTACATGAACCTCTTCCTCCTCTGGGTCTGAAATATTTTGTCACAACTTTAATTATAAATCGCCGGAATAAAATGGAATTTTTTAGACAGTAAACGACAAGGTACCAGGCACAATATTAATCTTAATTTGGTTATGGAATCGATTCGATAGCGACATACAGGCGTCGGAATAAATTCGTTAAGAGATAAACGTGTCACGAACGAAATGACAAGAGGGGTCGCCGAGCAATTTCGCTAAATATGGTAAATTTCATTGTGTCGCATCTTAATGCATGTGATTATACACGCAAAGCGAGGACGCAAAGCAACAATACAGACTACGACTGATTATAGCGATAACGAAGCCATCGAATCAATCACGAAATTCGATTTTCAGACGCGTTCTCCTGTGATGATGACCCGCTCGTCACACATTGACCGATTACCTCCTCCGATAAAATGTATCTCTGCTCACGGCACTATTCATGACGAAATTCTTACAATTAGAACAAATTTTATCAATTGTTTGTCGAGATTTATCGGCTAATCATGATTTTATTATGTATATATATTCGTGCAATACATACGATTTTACTATAATTAAATATAAAGCAATACATACGATTTTACTATAATTAAATATAAAAGTTTTTACTCGTTAAATCACATGGAAGTTGCTTTATAAAAAATGTGTTAATTTATTAATGGCAAGCAATCTCGCGTAATAAAAATTTTCTATTGTGCGTTTCATAAAAATGTGTTATATATAACACATAAGACAACAAACCATGCATAAGCTAACATATTAAAAATGCTAAATATAAAAGAAGAATCAAACAATATAAATTTACAAAATTAATCAATCGAGTTTTGGAAACATTATATAATGTACCTTTATTAATAAAATAATATTATTAATAAAATAATATCTGCGTTTTAATTAGTTATGCATTTAATATAAATTTTGGTTGATTCATTATAATGCATACTATTATGTACATATTTGTAACTGCGATTTGAAAAATAATAAAATAATATATCCATAAATAAATTATTAAGAAATACACATAAATTAAAATAACGTAAATCAAAACAACAATCTTATAATTTGTTCTTCATAATAAAAAACAAGCTGTAATTTCAAATAATTATTTTCTGTTTCGTATAATTAAATTTATATTTTGAAGTACACTAAAACAAAATTATACTTGACATTATAACTACAAAAACAATTAAGAAAGTAATTAAAAAGAAACAGTTTGCTTAAGAGGTTACTTTAACATTAATAATCAGAAATTTTCAAAAAAGATTTATCAAAAACTTTTAAACGCTCTTTCGAATCAATCACGAACTCGACAATAGAAACATTATACAATTTACCTTTATTTCAAATTTATCAACAGTCAACTATACAATCGCATATACTCACCAGTCGGCAAATCTTCGTGACGATTTGCTAGTAATTTGAATAATAAATCGCGATCAACGATATTAGTTCGCACTTGAAGGGGTCTTAAGTCAGTCTCACTGGCACCTGGCGAGTTTTTCTTCACCTACTCGGCACCCTGGTGTGTCTTTCTGATATACTGGCGAACGTTTCAGTGGTCCAGATCGGTGGCTGCGCCGCCGACAGGAGTATATATACCTGCGAAGGCGACGCATCCCCCGGCAACCGTAGCCAATCCTCGAGATTCCCCCACCAATCGTGCCTCCTACTCGCGGTTCCTTACGATCTTCTCTTCATGGATCATCTCGCGTTCGCACGATCCCGTCTTTCTAAAATGCGATCGCTTAACTATTGAAAGATTAAAGAAATCTCCTGATATCGATAAATTGATCGCAAAATAATAAATTCGAATTGATTCTTAATTTAATTATTAAAATAAATCTACATTTTTTTTGTCACATTGTCTTTTTAAAAGTGCAAGAATTGTATGTTATTATAATTGTTCATAAATGTATGTTTAATTATTATTCTTTTCAATTAGATACTTTTATATATCTTTGAATATATCTCGGAAATTCTGAAAATCCATAATTTTTGGCGAACGAACGGTATGCTTTTATAACAAGCTGATCAAAATCAAATATTATTACAATAAATCAAGAAATTAGATACAGAATTTCGTAGAAATATCAAGATATCGAATAATCTATGTATACGTGCACAATTATAAATTGTATTAAATAATGTTATTTAAACGTCGTGCAAAAAAATTTAGAAACTTATCCATTTTTTAATTATACACACGAAGAGATACTGTATTACGGTAATATACATATAGCAACAGCTTTGACTATAATCCTATTATTCAAATTTTCTCGCTAAGCCCATCCATATAGCAATCTGATAGTGAAACACCTTTATATTAAAATTCGTACGATACATCCGCCGATTTGCACCTCCAGGCTGACCGATTACAATGTAGGTCATACAGATATCCACTTTGGGAAAGTTTAAGAGAAACATATCCGACATGATCAATCTCACAATCGCCAAACATTAAGTACCTTTAGTTCTCCAACTTTTAAATGGCGATAACGACGCAAGCTTACACGCGCGAAATCTAGCAGATAAGAATGACAAGAGCGATAACAAGAGAGAGAGAGAGAGCGAGAGAGAAGGAGAAATCGGAAGAAACATAATTCCATGCGTGGGCGGATAGATCGTGACGGACCTACTACAAATATGAACCAATAAGAACTTGGTTGGGGATGACGAAACATTGTTTAATAAGAGGATATCCTGTGGCGCGAGGATCCACTGTCATCCATTTTCGACTGTTACCGCAAACTCCATTAATCCGTATCCTTGCCGATATTGATTGCTTTAATTTGCCTTTTTTCCTTTAAGTTTCCAAATTATATATAATCCGTTTAAGGAGGTTATCTTGTTCATCATATATCGAAAATAAATTGTATCAAATTGTCAATTTTTTGCAATTAAATGTATACATAAATGTTAATTTTTTTGATCGATCGTATCGAAGGTTCGAATATAATGTGTACAATAATAATAATAATAATAAATACGTAGCGTTTAATAATAATAATAATAAATCCATACTACATAAGTTCAGTTTTTAATTTGCTTTTTAATTTTACACATTATATTCGAGCCTTTGTCAGTGTTTGTTGGTATCTAGATAAAATTATCTAGATAATCATCTAGATAAAGAAGTGGCTCATCTTTATCTTTAACTAGAAGAAGAAATACAAAGTATCTTTATCTTTATTTTAGATAAAAAATATATATATCATCTTATCTAAAAATTGTCTAAGATAACGTTTTTATTAGGCAAAAAAGTTTTCCAGGCATGCTTCTAAAAATCTATCTAAAATATCTAAAATACATTTTTTATATTATTATATTATTAATATATTATAAATATATTATAAATATAAAGTAATAAATAAATATTTTTTTATTTTATCATATCATTTATATACCTTTTTGCTATTATTTAAATATTCTTTAGAAAAAGAGAAAGAATATGTGTTTACGATTTTAATATCCCATTTATAATCTGCGTCATATTTTTTACAAATATTTATAGTCTTCTAAAATAAACAAAAATATCTAGATAATTATCTAGGTTATCGCAATAATTATCTCATCTTTCATCTAGATTAAGTAAAAGCAAAATCATCTTTATCTCATCTAAGATAAATTTACGGATTTTTATCTTTATCTTTATCTAGATAATTTTGAAATTATCTACAGAAAACACTAGAAACGGTCGATCCAAATAATTGACATTTATGTATCGATCAATTTATTATGCAGTCGATAATCTTCCGCATGATAAAAAGATTGACACACGAAATAAAACTCACCCTGTATAACGAAACTTAAATCTAAAAAATCTAAAAAAGATACAGCTCATCATGTAAATAGATAGTATATTATTATTGAGAATTATACAATTCGAGATCTGAGTGCGATACAAAGTATTAGGTTCGTGCTTCGAAACATACGCGCCTGTTTGATTATTTCAACCAGCTGTTTTAGAGATAGTATGGTTGGAAATCAATAATACAGGCCTGCGAGGGTCAATTACAAAAAATAATTAGGTGAAACAATAGAATCTGGTAGATTTTTTTAATGCTGAAAGCGAATTTGGTCGCAGAATTTTCCCAACACGTCAGGTTTTGAGTAACCAGACACTACAAAGCGCGTCATTTATTTTATATATGTATATAATATAATTATTATAATTATTAATATATATAATATAATTTTATATGTATATACAGGGTGTCCCATTTTAATCCATCCAATCGAATATCTCGAAAACCAAGCTTGAAAGAGAAAAATGTTTCAGACAAAAGTTGTATGGTTTCTAGGGGGACATAAGATGGTACCATTGGTTTGACCTTGAAGAGTTATTTGAAGGTCACATGAAGGTCACCTTCAATTTCTTAAATGGAATTTACATTTTCTCATTACATATTCTTGTAGCTTATCTCGAGAGCTTTCCAAAACACTATAATAAAATATTTTTTTATTGAGTACTTTTCGAGTTATGAAGCTTGAAATCATTTCTTAATTTAACATAAACCGTAATATATCTAGTAAAATATTCATTTTTCGATTATCTTGCTTTAATACTTTTATGTACAAAATAATGAGAGGAATCAATTGGTGTAAAGAAAACACATAGTTATTTTTAAGAAAAAATATGTAATTTGCAATTAACAATTACATATTTTTTCTTTGAAACAACTATGAGTTTTTTTTACACCATTGATTTCTCTCATTATTTTGTACATAAAAGTATTAAAGCAAGATAATCGAAAAATGAATATTTTACTAGATATATTACGGTTTATGTTAAATTAAGAAATGATTTCAAGCTTCATAACTCGAAAAGTACTCAATAAAAAAATATTTTATTATAGTGTTTTGGAAAGCTCTCGAGATAAGCTACAAGAATATGTAATGAGAAAATGTAAATTCCATTTAAGAAATTGAAGGTGACCTTCATGTGACCTTCAAATAACTCTTCAAGGTCAAACCAATGGTACCATCTTATGTCCCCCTAGAAACCATACAACTTTTGTCTGAAACATTTTTCTCTTTCAAGCTTGGTTTTCGAGATATTCGATTGGATGGATTAAAATGGGACACCCTGTATATGTATTTAAATTATAATTTTTCATTCCTTTCAACAACTGTCAAACTATTAATCTTTGCGATCCACGACAATGGTTCGATGCTCTGAATATAATGCACTATACAAATCGAGACGATCATTAGCATCGCAGAAAAGCGGCAATAATACTTGAATCAATTTAACAAGAGCGAATTTGTGATTAAATAATCTAAAAATTATTTCGGCCAATTTCATGAATTTATTATGAAAAAAGCTAATTTTTTTAAATATTTCTGCCAACAGCATCATATAGTACTACTCTTTACTTTTCAAATCCATCTTTGATTGTCGCCGCATGTTTTTTTTTCGCTGAGTGTACAAGTATGAAGTTATAAGAAAATTTATATAAGCATCAATATGGCAGAGCCGTATCATATCAAAAGTTTTGTAGAAATATATCTAATCAGTTCAGTTGTTACACATTTTGATGAATTTTTCTAAATTGTATACCTTTTTATTGTGATTTTGTTCAACATATTGGATTATCTCCTGATTTTTAATTTCAAAAAATGACAGACGACGTTCAAAAATTTATGTTTTTACCCAAATTTTGATTCCTAGTAAGACAGAGAGGTGGTACGGTTGACTTGGAATGGCTTATTGAATCTTTATACTTAATCAGTTTTGTATACCAGTCTTGTATAATTTGTACATCTCAACGAAAAAAAATAGTGCGACGGCAATCGAAAATGGATTTAAAAGGTGAAGACTAGTACTATACGATGCCATTGGCAGAAATATTTTAAAAAATTAGGTTCCCTTATAATGAATTCATGAAAATGGTTCAAATAGCCATTTTTGGACTATTTAATCACAAATTATTTAAAAATCTGTGCTGAAGAAATTCTTTGGTCACATTTGTTTTCAGCATCAAAAAATCTATCAAATTCATCTACTCTACCTTTTAAGTAGCAAAACTTAAAATTTCGCAGATCTGTGTAATTAATATGTAAGAGAATAAATAATTTTCAAAATTTATCTGAGGTAAACGAAATTAGTTAATTTTATAATTAATATTAAAATAACTTTATAAAAGTTACGCTTAAATTTAAATGCTTTATAAATGCAAGTTGGATTTAGTTAAAATATAAAATATATATAATTTATTCATATTATTAAATACATATATACATATATTTATTTATTTAATTAAATATAAAACAGACTTGCAAAAAAAGAAGGAGAAGAAAAATATGTATATATAAATGCATACACTAACAATAACAAAATAACTCAAAAAAAAGGGAGGACTTTAGGAACAATCTTGCCATTATTCACAGTAGTAGCTTACAAATGCCTGTGACAGAATATTTATTGGAGTAAAATAGCTCTTTTAGCTTTAAAACAGAGAAAGAATAACCTGGACCTGACTCGTCGTCACCGATTCATCTTTAACTTGACAAAGAAGCAATGCGCGTGATAAGAGAATCCCGCATTTACGAGGGTTCTGTTAAGCTTTCTAGACATATTTCCCCTTTTCAACGATTCCTTTCGCCCCTCTGTCCCTCTAGTTCTCGCTGTGCTTATCACCATCGTTGATTTATAACGTCAATCGAATCGATTTTATGGATGTTCCGTTTACACTTACTCGTGGCGATAGGTAGCAATCGCTAATATATCGCATCGTCGACTGCCTCCTTCTGTTCTAAGAGGTCATCGGGAACGAACAGGGCACGATCAGGGATTATGCGATATGATAAGATCGATTCGTCGCAGGCGATCGTTCGAGATGGTGAAGATTCATAAGACGATGCATAAAAAAATGTCATTGCGTGGCTATCAAGTCTGTCGTACTCGCGAAACGAGCTTAAGTTAATCCGATATGAGAGTTCACGCTCTTACCTTTTCGCCACGAAGGAAAAGCGATAAAAATACCGCGGAGCGGAATCAACATCAGGGGGTTGCTGAGAAGCATACTTCCGTTGTTCAGATTGTAGTTGTGGATATAGAATTTTTGATTGAAACTAAGTGCTCGCTCGCATTCGTATATATATTTAAATATCCGTTTAAAATACATTTTGCACTCGCAGAGTCGTTTCAAGTGAAGCCGTTTCGATGAAGTTATAGAGAAGTTTGATGGTAGATGAGTTAACCGATAAAGTTACAACCGGTTCCGTAAAGCGCGGGTTATAGTTATTGCAAGCTCGGAAAGAAGCTTACTTCGTGAGTCGAACCGGAATAATGATGTGTATGTGCGCGCGCGTGTGTATATAATAAATTGTAACGCAACAATTTCAACGTAAGAAAGTATACTGTACTAAAGAGATTTAATAAAAATATTTTTAATATATTTTAATATATTTATAATAATATATATATATATATATATATATATATAGAATAAAAGTATTAATTTTATATATATATATATATATATATATATATATATATATATAGAATAAAAGTATTAATTTTTTAAAATATTATATAGAATGTTTATGAAGAAACTATGATATGATTTATAAATTTGCACAAGTAACTTTTTATTACGAGGTAATTATTATATAATAATTTGCACAAATCGTGTGTAAAAATTAGATTAATAATATTATTACACTTTATTTCGAATCAATTATTCGAGGGAAAAAGATTAAGCCTAGGTTAATCTTTTTCCCTCGAATAATTGATTCGAAATAAAGTGTAATAATATTATTTCAGAAAAATAATCCAGAGAACGACATATATGAATAATATATTGAGATAAATAAATGCGCATGAATTATAATGTCTAATTTCTTGGACAAAATTATGGTATATCCTCTTTAAATGTAAATATAATTTCGGTACATATTAACTAACAGTTTTATCTGCATAATTTCCATTCATGTCGGGGTTTTTTGCTTTCTGATCATTTTCGAGAAAGACCATTTAATAATAATTTAATAATATTTTTGAATAATATAAAATACGTCCATGCTATAAATTATAAAAGTATCGCGCTGGCTTTTATTTCATCAAAAATATCACATTAAAAAAACAACAATATGTGCAACAATATATATTAATATTAATTTCTGATTTGTGCGATAAAAAGTAATTAAATTATTTCAACCATTTTGTATTGTTTTAATAAAAACAATGGATCAAATTATTATTCTTATTATTATTAATTACCTTTTATATTTTCTAATGTAATATATAATTTTATTTCAAAAATTCGGATAAAAAATTTTACTTTGTTCTACTTTAAAGTATCTGCTATGATTGCGAACAAAATGTTAAGAAACGCTCAGCTTGTAAAACTTGTAGAGAAGACTCCACAGATAAAGACTTACCTGGTGCAGGTAAGTAACTGGTAAACTCAAGCACATATCTAATGCTAATTTATGTATTGATTTCCTTTTGCTAATATATTATTTGTAAATTAACAAAAAAAAATTTAATATAAAATATAATATTAACTAATAATTTTGTAATATTTTAAAGACCAGATAAACATTTGATTTGGATAATATAATAGTATTTATCTATAATATAGTACCTTTCTTTACAGTAATCGTATTTTACGATAGTATAATCAGTGTATTTATAAAATTACTTTCTGAAAGATGCATTCAGTGTTTGGGAATACTTTTCTCACATAAAACATCGTCGCTTGTAAGATTGCAAATTTTTGATACATTGATACGTTATAAAAATATCCGTTGTATAAAAAAATTACTTAGCATAACTGGAAGATGTTTTTAAAATTTACTATCTCAGGTCGCCCGCTTTTCTAAACAATCAAATTACTAGAATATATTAAAAGTCCCAGATCCTGAGATAGATAGCTTGAAAAATTTAGGTAGGCTCGAGGCAAGTTAATTCTCACAACCATATTATTATTCCAATTATCGCGTCGCTGTTCTGAAACCGCGAATACATGAAAAGACCACCGGCACTCGCCTTCATTAACCACGATCCGGTCTTGTTCATTCGGTCAAATAGCGACTGCAGAAAAACATTGCTATCCTCTAATGAACATCACGAATCCGAGGAACGATCGGGGAAGAAAAATAAAAATAATAATAATAATAAAAGAAGTAAAAAGGAGGCACCGTCGACCAGCGACTGTCCACCGCCGATTTACGCAATGAGAAAAAAATCTGGTTGCATTAATTAGAATTCTGGTAGATTCAACCAGTATGTCTGTTGGAAAATGGACGAACCAGAATTCTTGTAGGAATTACCAGATGAATCTGATTAATTTTTTCCTGTTAAATTTACCAAATTTTCTGATTAATAATACTAAACTCGCCAGCAAGTCGTCTAAAATTTTGTCCATCTAATCTCAAAAGTCTGTTTAATTGGGAAAAAAAATTTCCATCGCGGGTAGGGGGATGCTTGTGTCGCATAACAAATATGGTTGTCACAAAGGGTGATATGACATTTAAGAATACTGTTTTAAAAATTGTTAAGAAAACGCAAATGTTGTCACTGCGTTTAGATATTTTGTGTAGCTATATAATGCTACACCCTCTTCAAGAAATATGATTGAAGGCCAGAATGTAATAAATTCTGGCTTAATTATCATGTGCGGTAAAAAGTTGTGAAAAAATTTATTTATTTTCTTTGAGTCTTCATTTTTTTTTTGTTAATCTAATACTTCTCAATGTATTATTCACTTTTATTTTATAGAAACACACTGATTGCCGTATCTAATCAATATTAAATCACTCTTTGCGACGGCCATAATTTTTAGTTTGCGTTTTGTCCACTAGTGTCACATAGTAAATTTATATTCCCAATATTCTGAATTCCAACAAGATTATTGGATAAATTCAATCCAGATTATTGAATAAATTATTTTAAATTCAGTTTGTCAGAAATTAAACTGATAAACAGTGATTCAAGAAGAGGATGCAGCTCAAACACACACAATCAAAGAGATAGCGTCCTCTTTCTGGCACTACTGCTCGTAAGAGAAAAAAAATACACTGAGCAAAAAAAATCTGCTTGCATTAATTAGAATTCTGATAGATTCAACCAGTATGTCTGTTGGAAAACGGACGAATCAGAATTCTTGTAGGAATTACCAGATGAATCTGATTAATTTCTTCCTTTAAATAATCCGTTAAATTTACCAAATTTTCTGGTTAATAATACTAAAATTTTAGACGACTTGCCAGCACCAAGTCGTCTAAAATTTTTTCCATTTAATCTCAAAAGTCTGTTTAATATTTTGAATTCCAACAAGATTATTGGATAAATTATTTTAAATTCAGTTTGTTAGAAATTAAACTGATAAACAGTGATGCAAGAAGAGGATGCAGCTCAAACACACACAATCAGAGAGCTAGCGTCCTCTTTCTGATATTATTGCTCGTAAGAGAAAAAAAAATATACTTTGGATGTTAATACTAGTTCTTTGTATACATTTTATGGCAAATATTGAATACGAGTTAAGTTAAGAGTGGCTCGCAAAGAAATTAATGTAACAAGAAATTTTATAGATCCAATCAGAAAGTACAAACCAAATCCTTATAGTAAAATCTATTAAACGTTCTAGTTATAAAAAATCGAGTCTTATCATAATAACTAGAAATTCTCGTTTGATTTAAACAAAATGCTTTCAATCATATACGTTTTGTTACACTCAAACGATTTTTCTCAGTGCGGACGACGACAACGAAGTCGTAGTGGGGAAGACGGGAGAAGAGCAGCCAGGGTAAGGGAAGACAACACACATGAGCAGGAAAAGGAAACCGACTATGGTGATTATTTGTGATGGTGGTGGTCGTGACGGTGGTGGTGGCAGAATCTCCGCAACAGGTAGAAGAAAGAGGGGGCGAGGAGAAGGAAGAGAAGAAGATCGCGCGCGAGAGAAACGAAGAGGAACGCGGGAGAGAACGGTCATTGCCACTACCTCACCTCGAGAGAGCCCGACCATACGCGCTAGAGTCCCCGTCGTCACGAAAAGCGTCGACCCCGACACGGTCTACCGTCCGCGGCTGTCCCGCAGTTTAGCCTGCCGTCGTTTATACCTGCCTACTCGGCTTCACCTACCTATCTACCTACCCACCAACTCGTGGGGGGGCTGTTGTGCTCCTCTCTCACGAGGACGCGAGCGAGCTCGACCGATGCGTGTCGTCGTGGCCTGCCGATTCTTCATGCAGGGGGAGCGAGACCGCGAGCGAGTCTCACCTGGATCGAGGGATCGGTTGATCCAGAAGTCGTGAACCGAGCAAACCAGTTAGATAGGTGCCAGCCGTGGCGAACAGATCGAGCCGGCGGCTGCCAGTCCGAGAGGTACGCCGAGAGGTTACACGTTCTTTCATCCTGCCGCGGTTCTCGCAGCCGGTCCGATTGTCGCGGGTTCCCCGAAGTCGCTCGAAGGGCGTTCTCCAAACCCAAAGGGGTTGCCGTGGGACCCCAGATGAGACGGGGAGGCGCCGGGCGCGGAGGCTCCATCACTCGACAGGGTTCGACCACGTGGCCGCAGGTGCCCGTTGCGATCGGGAGTGCCAGGCCTGGGTGGCTGACGTTCCAGGTGTTCTCCAGGTGATCTGGCGTGGGACATTCCGAAAATCTGACTCGGTGGCTCGAAACACTGTTTCGTTCGAAGGCGACGATGCATCGTCGCGAGGTCTGAGAAGAACTATAGACGCAAAGACGCGATAGAAGCAGAAGCAACAGCAGCTCGGCAGTGTCAGTCAAGGTATGCTCACGTCTCAAGGTCCCGGGTATATGAAGAAGCGTCGTATTTTCTTGTACGGGTGGCCTTCGCTGAGATTACAACAGACAACGGTCGATATCGTTTTTGCCGGAGGGGGAGGACGACGCACTTTCGCGGATAATTAAGCGGTTCCTGCGCTGCCGCGGGTTTCACGGTGGATACTGAACTTGAGCGAACAGGTGGTTTCTCCTGCGGTCTATCGTCCTTGATCCTTGGGATCAACAGCGGCGCGATTTATTCTTTTTTATTTCTGTGATCGAATAGTCAGTAATTATTGATAGATCAAAATTTAACTTGTCCCAAATCAAAAAGAATATATAAATACAGTTTTATTATAGTTCAATAGATTCTGAGTTAAAATATTATCTTAATCTTTTTAAAAATGCAGATGTAGCTTTGAAGTGATCAACAAATCTATAAAAAAATTATAGTTGTCAAATATAGTATTTCTCCAACAATATTGCTCCAGCAAAATATATTTTATGTAATTAAGCATATAAAATTTATCTTGCAAGCTATACAGTTGAATTAATTTTATAAAATAATAAATCTTGTTTATATAATAAAAGGGACAAAATGATAAATAAATAAATTACATTTGATTAAATTAAACTCAAGTCAAGCAAAAAATGTAACAATAAAAATTGTATTGTCAAATATAATATTTCTCCAATAATATTGCTCCAGCAAGATATATTTTATGTAATTAAGCATATAAAATTTATCTTGCAAGCTATACAGTTGAATTAATTTTATAAAATAATAAATCTTGTTTATATAATAAATAAAAGGGACAAAATGATAAATAAATAAATTACATTTGATTAAATTAAACTCAAGTCAAGCAAAAAAATGTAACAATAAAAATTATATTGTCAAATATAATATTTCTCCAATAATATTGCTCCAGCAAGATATATTTTATGTAATTAAGCATATAAAATTTATCTTGCAAGCTATACAGTTGAATTAATTTTATAAAATAATAAATCTTGTTTATATAATAAACAAAAGAGACAAAATGATAAATAAATAAATTACATTTGATTAAATTAAACTCAAGTCAAGCAAAAAATGTAAAAATAAAAATTATAGTTGTCAAATATAGTATTTCTCCAATAATATTGCTCCAGCAAGATATATTTTATGTAATTAAGCATATAAAATTTATTTTGCAAGCTATACAGTTGAATTAATTTTATAAAATAATAAATCTTGTTTATATAATAAACAAAAGGGACAAAATGATAAATAAATAAATTACATTTGATTAAATTAAACTCAAGTCAAGCAAAAAATGTAACAATAAAAATTGTATTGTCAAATATAATATTTCTCCAATAATATTGCTCCAGCAAGATATATTTTATGTAATTAAGCATATAAAATTTATCTTGCAAGCTATACAGTTGAATTAATTTTATAAAATAATAAATCTTGTTTATATAATAAATAAAAGGGACAAAATGATAAATAAATAAATTTGATTAAATTAAACTCAAGCCAAGGAAAAAATGTAAGAATAGATAGATTACACAGTAGCTTCATTTCATTATCCGCCTGATGAGCGCGGTTTATTGGCCGAATAATCAATTCAGAATTTCATATACTATCGTGACGTACTACATCGACGAGCGGGACATATTGCCGATCCGTTGTCGAAGTCAACCGCATGTCTTTAGAATAGCGGTATACTTGACTCGTTTCAGCTGAATTTCATTCGTACGTGGCACCCGGGCACCCGTACGTATACCTGTACGTGTGTAAACTAACGTCTGTTTCCGATTTTACGTCGTTTCATGCATTATTCATGCGCTCTCGCTGAGAAAAAATCTGGTATTCTTTGAAACAGAGTGTTTATTTCAACAAAATAGCTCTTTTAAACGCTTTTCTTAAGGCGATATGAATTATCGCTGATAAGACGCACTATTGTTTGTCAGAATGTTTTTTTGTTGTAATTTGTTAAAAGCGATATCGGGGTAGTAATTTCGAATTATCAGGAAAAACCTTGAATTATATAATTCGAGTCAACATTTTTCTTCTATTTTCATTAATTAAATTTCAATTTATATTTTGATATTTTAAATACAATCAAATCTTCCTTCAAAATTTTTTTTAATTTATGGCGAAAATTTTTATCATTTTCTAAATGAGAAATCTTTGTTCGTTTATTGTCTATTTGAGATACAAAATAGGAAGTCGATTCTTATGTACATATACCTATCTGAAATTATTTATAAATCTGCTAGAAATTTATAAACGTGAGAAAGTTTAAATTAAAAATTAGCAAATTTTCGATTCAGAAACATCTTAATCCTTATATGAAATCTCAATTGAAATTCAAATAGTAGATTTATAAATAGCTGGATAGTTTTACAAATTCTTAGATAATGTTCCTGGATAAAAGTTGACAGATACCGTCATCATAATCAAAGTTCAAGCCAATTTTGTGGCACACACATACATACATATATAGTATGTCTCATTATTATTACTTATTCAATATTAAATAAAATTCGCTTCATAAAATTCTCAGACAATTTTCTTGGATGAGAGCTGAAGGGTCGTCATCGTAATCATAGTTCAAGCCAATTTTACATAAGCTACCGTACACATGTAATATCTGTAAATGCGTTATCCACTAAAGGGAAATAATCTACGATAATGATCCAGGGATTGAGCGTAGGATTTTATTCGCGCATAACGTATCTCGGCGCCAACCCACATGTGCGCCTCGCATTAGATACGTGAGTACAAATGAAAGTGGCAGGTACCGTTATTAAGCGAGTGCTGGCTTACGACAAAAGCTATTCCTACGATGCGTATATGTATACGTCGTGGTACGCACGTGCGTTCTAGTCGCTTTCGTCCGCCAATTAAGACGCGTCATTTTTCTCAAACGAAAGAGAACATCAATTCCGTGAATACGCAAGAGTCTAATTAATACGCTAAGCGCGGAAAAAAAGGACATTTATATTAGCGTGATAAGACACGCGTATGACAATTGATGAAGTAAAATTGATAAAAATAAAATTGATAAAATAAAAATAAAGGAATCTTCTAAAAATTATTTCTCTGTGCGAAATAAATAAGTAATGTTACAAATATGTTACATTACATCTCTAAGCTCGCTGCGACATCGCGGTGATTATTAAATTAATTGAAGATCATTAAGAGATTGATTATTTCAAAAACAGTTTTTCAAACAGTCATTTTTCTCAAACGAAAGAGAACAATCAATTCCGTGAATACACAAGAGTCTAATTAATACGCTAAGCGCGGAGAAAAAGGACACCTACATTAGCGTGATAAGACACGCGTATGATTGAGTTGACGTCTTCTACGAAGTAAGATACTCGTAAGAATGTCAATAGATTTCTAAATATTATGCAATATTATATTATAATTATATAAAGTCATTTTGCTCTGCATACGTCAGAGAATTTCGAAGAAAAACATTTAATATATACCTTTGTTCGTAATTAACTTCCAAAATTGCATTTTTCTGTAAATTTACAATAATTACATCCAACGTTCAGTAATTTTCGTAATATCGGTTGTAGTTTCGCTTAATTCACTATTTGTTTCTGGAATATCCTCAGCTTTGCCTTTTACTTGATCAGCATCGATTGAAGAATGAGCAAATCTTTTATTTTTCGGTAAACGATGGCGATAATTCTTGTGGATATTCCGAGACATTTCTACAACGCGTTCGTTGAAATCCATAATTGATGAAGTAAAATTGATAAAAATAAAATTGATAAAATAAAAATAAAGGAATCTTCTAAAAATTATTTCTCTGTGCGAAATAAATAAGTAATGTTACAAATATGTTACGTTACATCTTTTAAGCTCGCTGCGACATCGCGGTGATTATTAAATTAATTGAAGATCATTAAGAGATTGATTATTTCAAAAACAGTTTCTCAAACAGTCATTTTTCTGAAACGAAAGAGAACAATCAATTTCGTGAATCAATTCCGTGAATACGCAAGAGTCTAATTAATACGCTAAGCGCGGAAAAAAAGGACACTTATATTAGCGTGATAAGACACGCGTATGACAATTGATGAAGTAAAATTGATAAAAATAAAATTGATAAAATAAAAATAAAGGAATCTTCTAAAAATTATTTCTCTGTGCGAAATAAATAAGTAATGTTACAAATATGTTACGTTACATCTTTTAAGCTCGCTGCGACATCGCGGTGATTATTAAATTAATTGAAGATCATTAAGAGATTGATTATTTCAAAAACAGTTTTTCAAACAGTCATTTTTCTCAAACGAAAGAGAACAATCAATTCCGTGAATACACAAGAGTCTAATTAATACGCTAAGCGCGGAGAAAAAGGACACCTACATTAGTGTGATAAGACACGCGTATGATTGAGTTGACGTCTTCTACGAAGTAAGATACTCGTAAGAATGTCAATAGATTTCTAAATATTAATATTATATTATAATTATATAAAGTCATTTTGCTCTGCATACGTCAGAGAATTTCGAAGAAAAACATTTAATATATACCTTTGTTCGTAATTAACTTCCAAAATTGCATTTTTCTGTAAATTTACAATAATTACATCCAACGTTCAGTAATTTTCGTAATATCGGTTGTAGTTTCGCTTAATTCACTATTTGTTTCTGGAATATCCTCAGCTTTGCCTTTTACTTGATCAGCATCGATTGAAGAATGAGCAAATCTTTTATTTTTCGGTAAACGATGGCGATAATTCTTGTGGATATTCCGAGACATTTCTACAACGCGTTCGTTGAAATCCATAATTGATGAAGTAAAATTGATAAAAATAAAATTGATAAAATAAAAATAAAGGAATCTTCTAAAAATTATTTCTCTGTGCGAAATAAATAAGTAATGTTACAAATATGTTACGTTACATCTTTTAAGCTCGCTGCGACATCGCGGTGATTATTAAATTAATTGAAGATCATTAAGAGATTGATTATTTCAAAAACAGT